ACGGGTTGTAGCACGTGGAGTGACCCCTGACCAGTTCTTCCCTTTCTTTTCGATCCGTTGACCCTTGTCAACATGCAAGGTTATTATTCTTATTTATTTTAATGTTTTTCTTTAATTCTTTGATGTTTGCAAATAAAAATCAGGATTATCTGGAGCGCAATAAACTAGAAATCCTAGCAAAATGGTGTAATTAAAACTAATTTACTATTTGTTCTGGACTTACAACAATTTCTACTTTCCTAGTAAGTAAACCCACCTCAGACATGACCCATTATTAATTTGCAATGGATTATGAGTAGTGAAGGATGATACATACGTTACGTATCTAAATTTGTATAGTACATATAGTTGTATACGTTGTTGTATACGTTGTTGTATACATTATTGTATACAGTGTTGTATACAGTGTTGTATACATTGTTGTATACATTGTTGTATACAGTGTGTGAATTCAATGTTCTCAATGTTCTCTGAGAACACAAAAATTTCAAGTTACATTTTAGGGCACACTTGTGTGAGAACATAAGAAATTTCAAATTTGTTATATAGTTAACAAATGAGTGGCGTATTTTGAAATTAAATGAGAGTTTGAAATTTGTAATTCAAAATTTTAAAATAAAATTTATCGGAAAATAAAATAAAACCAGAAATCTGTAACACTGGTTGTATAGTGTTTAGAGTATGTAATATACAAGAATTATTGATTAGCGAATGTTTATCATGAATTACCGACATAGAATAACCTGAGTACACGTCTAGAATATGTGTGTACGTTATTATTGATGTTGAATGATCTATATTAATCGTATTAGTATCAGATTGTCAAGTATTTAACCGTTTTTATTGGCTAAAAAATTCAACTGTGCAACTATGATGTACAATATAAATAATAAGTAGCTGCGCAACGTTGTCGCGCGAAACCACTGGACAATGATTTTGTAGTATGCCGTAATGACGTATTGCTATATTGCCGTAATGTTATATTGGCGATGAACTTACAATATTAGGTGTTGTCAATGAAAAACTATACTAGGTTAGTTTCTTGTTGGATCCTATTGCTATAACATTTGATATGCTTTAGTCTAATAAATTATAAACTTTGAGGCCCGAAGGTAGGTATGTTTTGGCAGTGCTTACTTTCAAAATTTAATTGCAAAGTTCACAATAATATGTCGAATATATTTTGATCTATTAACAAAATTTACTTTGGCTGAGTTTTTGAATTACTCAAATTCGGCATAGTGCGAGATATGCATATATATTCAGTTAGAACAAAATATTAATCCGTATTCTCAAATGATCAACTAAAAATCGATATTTATTTGTTATATCGACAGTTAGTCTGTATTACGCAAGATCAACAGTGTCATGCTGACCAATTAAATGCCCAGAATCGCACAGACACATTTGAAATGCCTGTAAACCATACACTACGTTGTACGTTGTACAAACTCCGTTCCTGGTATTCGACAAAAGTAAAATTTATATAAACTTGTCATGATCTAAAAATGAGGTTCAAAGATCTTTTAACTAGCTTGACTTTGCATAAGACAACTTTTTATAGTAAATATAGAAAAACTAGAATAGCACGTGCGGGCAATAACAGCTATAAAAATTGTAGTTAACATATTAAATGTTTTTATCAAATCGGACCGTTATGTACTAAATAACGCACATAACAGCTAATCACTTGTTAAAATATATAAGTGACCACACGTAGTTTTGATTTACACAGTATATCACTGATGAATAGTTATAAGTACCTGTATAATGTAACTGAAGTCTTTATGTTAAAAATTCTATATTAAATATTTATGTTTAAAAATAATTATAACCACGGTACATTAAATTTCTATACAAATATGGCAAGTGAAAATTATTATAATACAGTATATTGCTTTTTATCTTTATGAATTCGATTCTCCCAAGTTTTGTTCTTGTACCATCGCATAATAAGTTCCTTTAAGTTGTAATAGTTCTTGATGTGTACCTTGTTCATGAACTTTACCATCTTTTATAACATATATGACATCTGCATGTTGAATTGTTGATAATCTATGTGCAATTGCTAAGGTTGTTCTTCCATGAGCTGCTGCATCAAGTGCTTCTTGTACAACCTTTTCTGATTCAGAATCTAAGGCCGATGTTGCTTCATCAAGTAATAAAATTTTTGGATTTCGAATAAGTGCTCTAGCAATGGCAATTCGTTGCTTTTGACCACCTAAAAGATAATGTATTATAATGTATTAGGAATGTATTAGCAATGTTATAGAATATTTTTTTTAAAAAAGTCAATCAATATTTAAGACAATAAAAACCTGAAAGTTGTGTTCCTTTTCTACCAACACGAGTATCATATCCCTCGGGTAAACCGACAATAAATTTATGAATATTGGCTTCTATACATGCATTTTCTATATCATTTTGAGTAATATTTTGTCCTGGTCGACAACCAAAAAGAATATTTTCTTTTATAGTCATATCATATAATGATGGTTCTTGACTTACAAGTGAAATATGTTCTCGAAGATTATTCACATTCATTTTAGCAATATCAATTCCATCAATTGTAATTGTACCATTCGTCAATTGATAAAATCTTTCAGTAAGACTTATTGTGGTACTTTTACCACAACCTGATTGACCAACTAATGCTGCATATTGACCAGGCTTAATTTCTAAATCTAAACCTCGGAGAACTGGAACATCAGGTCGAGTCGGATAACGAAAATGAATATTATTGAATTTAAGGTGACCATTGACTGTTTCAACTTTTTCACCACCTTTATTCCATGTATCAATTATAGGAACACGTTCTAATAATGATATTATGGTGGTTGATGCGGATTTTGCTTTCGTTATATCTGGTACATAAACAAAGGCACGACCAGCATTCTGTGATCCAATTATGATGGCCGAATAAACTATAAACATTCTCTTAAGATCATATTCACCGTCAATAAATAATTTACTACCATACCAAAATGTTAAAGCATTTACTAAAAAATTTATACTTTGTGCGAAAGCAAAAATAATGGAGGCCAAGTATGCATTTTTAAAACCTTGACGCATGGGTTCATCTAATAAATTATGATATGTTTTCCATATATCATTTTCACGAGTAAGAGCAGCGACTGTTCGAATATTACTAGCACTTTCACAAGCTAATTGTGCGGAATTTTCATAGGCTTTCTTGGTTTTTTTCTGGAAACCGTCCATCATTTTTAGACGTAATGAAGTAGAACTAATTACTAAAGGCACACTACATAAGCAGACCAAAGTGAGTTTCCAACTAAATACAAGTGCCACTATGGTAGAAGCAAAGATTGTAGCCATTACATGTAACATATTTCCAAGTGTAGAACCAGCAAAACCATTAAGATGGGTTACATCTAACGATAATCGACTAGTCAAAGCACCTACACTATTACATTCTTCATCAAAGAAGGAAATATCTTGTCGTAAAATAGATGCAAAAGACATTGACCGAATTCGTTCTGTAAGCTTTTCACTCGAAAATCCAAGAGTAACAGATTGAATAATATTCAAAAAAAAGACTAGAATAGCAAATATAAAAAACATAAGAGACCAGAAATTTGCTTCTTGACGTAAAGTATCTCCAGTTTTTGAAAGTGCATCAATAATATTACCAAAGCTAATAGTATACATCGAGAAAATGCAGCCTAAAATTAAAATATACATATTTTTTTTTTATTAAATGTCACATACAATACAGTATGAATACAGTATGATAATTAATGTAGTTTTAATCACTTACCGTAAATAGTTGATGCTAGTATACCCATAGTAAGCAGAAGAGATTCAGGTCCATTGATGAATGCTATCTTCTTTACCAATTCCCAACAAGTGTAATGACAATCATTATGTTTCAATCCCATTTCAGTATCAGATTTTTGCTTGGCTGAAATAATCTGATTTTCATTGTCCTTGAGAGTAAATGATATAGAAGCATCATCTTTCGACGGAATTATAAACGAATCCGATATATTAAGGGTTTCTTCATCCTCTGAAGTCTGTTGAACTTGTTGAGTTTCAACAAGTTTAGAATAAAACCCATTTTTATCCATGAGCTCTTTGTGTGTACCTGATTCCATAATAACTCCTTTATTCATCACAATAATCTTATTCGCATTACGAATAGTGGATAAACGATGCGCAATAACTATCGTTGTACGACCCTTTGAAGCTTTCTCTAACGCATTTTGTACTATTCCCTCACTTTTTGTATCAAGAGCACTAGTAGCTTCATCAAGTAATAAAATTTTTGGATCTTTAATAATAGCACGAGCAATTGCAATACGTTGTTTTTGACCACCAGATAATAATATTCCACATTCACCAACCATAGTTTCATATTTATCAGGAAGGTACATAATAAAATCATGAGCATTGGCCATCTTGCAAGCATTTTCAACCATTACACGTTTCTCGCTATCAGGTAAATTTTCATAAATAGTACCAATTAATCCATAAGATACATTGTCATTTATAGTAGTATTAAAAAGTATAGGTTCTTGACTTACAAGACTTATTTGTCTTCTAAGCCAAGTTAAATTAAGTGATTTAACATCATATCCATCAATAAATATACCACCAGATATAGGGTCATAGAAACGAAGTATGAGAGATACAATCGTACTTTTACCAGAACCTGAAGAACCAACGAGTGCAACAGTAGAACCAGGTTCAACGTTCAATGATATATCATTTAAAATTTTAACATCAGGACGAGTTGGATAAATGAAATTTATATTCTTAAATTGTATATGACCTTCAACATTTTCAAGTTTATCACCAGAATCAGAAGCAGTATCTATCGGGGGAATACGATCAATAGTTTCAAAAACTTTTGAACCAGCTCCAACAGCAAGACTAAGAGCTTGAAGATCAACAAAAAAATGAGAAAGACCCATAGATCCAATTATAATTGAAAAGAATACATTAGCAACCTTATGAGAAAGAAAAATTAATCGGATTTTTTTTTAAAAAAAAAACTAATATCAAAAAAAAAAAAAACCCCCAAATATGTACCTGTCCGGAAGTCATTTCATGATTAAGAATCAACGTAGAACCGAACCAGAAGGCCAATGCATAAGTTGAATAAATTACAAAGAACATTATTCCAAGAGAAATACCAATCACCCAAGATTTTTTAAGACCTTCTTTTTTTGCATCACTTAAAAAAGTATCATAAAGGTTAGAAAGTTTGGTTTGAGCACCAAAAGCCACCGCAGTTCTGATCATTGATATAGCTTCTTCGGCGATTATTCCGGCACGAGATTGGGATTCCAACCCTCTTTTTGAAAAAATTGCTCCAAATTTATTCATCAAACCACTATTGATAGCAAAAAAAGGGATAAGGAAGGATATCACAAGAGACATTTTCCAATTTGTAGCAAATGCGATAATAAACGCTGAAATGAATTGTGTAATATACTGGAATAGCAAGAAAAACGACATCAATATGTAAACATGATAGTAAAAAAAAGATGATGATAATATGCATGTATACATGGCTTACTTGAAAAGAGAGAGAAACTTTTTCACTAATACCATCTTGTATCAAATGTGTATCAGAAGTAATGCGAGTAGTAACTTCACCTGGACCATATTTATCAAAATAAGCTATGTTTTGTCTAAGAATTGCACGAAGGTATTGTTCACGAATTTGTCGCGTGATTCTGAAAAACAATAAATTCACATGACAAGGTTAGTAACTTTTTTGAATGATAGAATGACTTGACATGAATTATATAAAAAATTACTTTTCACCAGTATATACCCAAGCAGCAACAGATATATACGTAGCAACAAAAATTCCAATTGAAAAGTATACAAATACTAGTGAAAAGTCATCTACTTCTTTGGAAAACTGCTGAGTGCTTGTCTCGTGATTTTGATAATTGGTATAATAATCGATCATTATTCCAAACAATGTTGCTATTGCGGGCTGTCAAATTTAAATAGAATATATCACAAATCGAGAAATTTGAAAAAAAAGAAACGCTTAAAGAGACAAATATAATGTACGTACTGTAGCAGCTCCTGCAAGTGCTGAAAAAACCAATCCAATAAACATAATTATCCAGTCAACTTTTGTAGCGAATCTGTATAAAGAAATATATGATATATTTCTTTTAATAATATTAATCTGATCCTTTAATATTTGTTCCTCTTGAGGATCAAGCTTAATGTCAAATGATTCATTGATTTCTTTTTCGTCTAGGTTCTCTGTCATTTTGGAAAATTTTATAAAATTATGATTTTTTTTATTATAATATGGTTCTAAGAGTTTTTTTTCAAAACAGTTAAAAATTTTATTTCAATTAAGCCCGAGAAAATTTATACCTTGTCATATAGGGTAATAATTTAGCAATTTTGGTAATCATTCGGGAAAGACATATGTTAACAAATTATTTCATTGGAATATAATTAGTATTTCTCATTATTGTTAATCTTGAAAGTAGACGATCAAATATCGGTTATATTAATATAATTATTTCTTGAACGATCATCATGTGGAATGGATATACACACAAAGAAAATCATTCCGTTAAACAGATGATTAATTGTCACTGTTCGAAAAAGGCTTATCTTTGACGTACTTAAATAACACAATTTCATAAATGATCCCAATTTATATTCAAAGTATTCTATTCCTCTTGACCTATTATTATTATGGTTTACAAAAATTTAATTAACGTTAAATGCAATATTAATTAACTTATTAAATCAGCATCGGATCCGATTGTACATTAATAGTTTAGAACCTAATGAAGGTTATTAAATTTATATTAAACCTGGCCAATAGGAAATTTACAATTCAAAGTCCAAAAATAATTGGCCCATGACTTATACTGTATTACTTCATTTATTATGAATGAAAAGACTCTATATTACTTAATATATGTATGACAATGTATGAAGATGTATGAAGATACTTCTAAAATTAGCACTGGCCTTAATTCGCCATCGACAATGCACGAGCCAAAAAAATATCCTTATTCTTATTGCAATATATACAGTATATTAGTGATGGAGATGAGAATAAATAATAACGACTTGAAAATTTAGGACTCGATATACACGTAATAGAAAGTTACGTAATCCTAATCTTAATTACGTAATTACAAAGACAATTATTTGTACGTATGTAAAGAGAAATTACCTTGTAATTGATCGATCGTTTATTATGGGTATAAAAATGATTAGTTGATATTGTTAGTAAAATTTTGAGTAATTGGAATTAATTCAATCTTATCGATAAATAATCGCCCATCTCTAATGTACGTACATACATTATATGTCACCCTTTTGTCTAGAGTTTGTAGATATATAACTTAGATAGAGATATGACTAAGGCAATATTTAATAAATATAGGATATTATTCTGCTAAATGATGGGAATATAAGAGTTCTAAGTGAGGTTTGGTTAATCTGAGTACGTATCATTTCACCAACAATCACTTCATTGAGCATCCTGTCATGCATAATAATGTTTTGATAAAACAGGAAGAAACATACTCGATTCAAATCGTGAGGAATTATATTTGTAACATTTGCTGTTAAGTGACCCATCATTATGAAAGGCTTTTTTTTATGTCTGCACACCAGGTGTGAGATTAAGTTTGGGTCAGGTTAAAGTTGGGCAACCTACCTGAAACTAGTTTCAGATTTTTAAAAAATCCGAAATTCATGAAATCTAAAACTTGGAACTATAATTGAAACCTTTCGAAAGTATGCAACCAATCATTTCAAAGAATCTCATATAATCAAACTTAGAAAAATCTAAAAAATCTTTGATGCAAAATGATAACAAAACTTTGTGCATTAAGCAAAAGTTTGTAGCATAAAATGTTATTTATAATCTAACCAATCTAATCTAAACCATAACTTTAAATCTTCAATTTTTAAAAATTTATAATAGAGCAGTGTACTCACCTGCAATGATGTTTAGTTTCAAAATATTTAAAAATATAAAAAACACCTATAAATATTATTTATAAATTTATTTAAATAAATTTAAAATGTGAATTGTATATAAAAATAATACCAATTTGATTTGTAAATAGTTGTGATTGTAGAATAGATTAATTTGAATGGTACGTATCTATCTATCCGTTTTTAATTTATTATTACTATGTATAAAAATCGTTTAATAATGTGATTCCGGAATCGGCGAGTCTGTCGCTACTCTAATCCAATTCTCGCGTAGCCTACGGCGGCTAAGTCGAAATAGGCGTGTTAGATTTGGCTGGTGGTTTATCCGTAGGTAAGTACTAGTATTCTCTTGTAAGCCTTTCCTTCAACCTAGTCTTCTATTAACCTTTGCCTTCTCTTGTCTTCTCGTGTCTTCTCTTGTATGCCTCAACCCGGGATTACACTACGTTGAATCGGGGTTGGAATTCTTCTATTACGGCGACGGCTTTCCGGTCACGTGACTTGCGGCAAACGATCAACGGCGAGTTTAGTGATTTATTGGTGAACGATAGGGTTAACAACGGGATTAATGATAGTTTATTAGTTTGTATATGGTAATACTTTCACTTTTAGGGGTCGGGTATTTCGTGTTATTAGGGGATTTATTGGTATCGGGGACTTGTTTAAGGGAAGGGATTATTGTTAGGAAGTCGGGATCTATTTTTCCCAAGGCAAAAATGCCCTTTATTTATAATAAACGTTTTATTTACATTGGTAATTAATTTCTAACATAAATGTAATATATTCCTTATACTCTATATCTTAACTAAATGTAATAAAGAACTAATATTTCATTTAATTCATATGTAGGCGAAGTAGCAGAAACGACGTAAGTAACATAAGTGAGATTTTCGTCACGTCCGTGTGACCTTGGATCGGGTCAGGATCGTCGCTAGGACACCCGTGACCCCGAAAATCGGGCTCACAATAGCTTAATTTATGATAAATAATCGATTTTTAACTACAATTTCATGTTAAAATTAAATCTCAGCATTACTGATGTACAAAATAGCTACTAGCATATTAGCCTGATCTTATTTAATTTGAACGAACAAAAGTTTAAGTTTTAACAGTTTCAGGGTTTCGGTTCCGGGTTAACTTCTCGAAATCCATTTTTGTGAAATACCATTTCACCGAAGTCGTAATATCGAAAATTTATTTTACCAACAAGACAGAAAAAGGTCTATGTCATTTCATTGAAAGTCAATTAACAATTATTTCACTGACAGACCATTTCACCAACAAGTTTTGTTAAAAATTGCACTAACCTTAACTCTAATTCTAAACCTGACCCTAATGACAATTATCAGAATTATTTTGTCGATGAAATGACTGTCGGTGAAATAAACTATCAGTGAATAAACTTGTCAGCTAATTGATATTCGGTGAAATGACACTGACCTATTTCTGTCCTGTTAGTAAAATGGATTGTCGGTATTACGACTTCGGTGAAATGATATTTCTAAAAATTGACTTCGGGGAATTGAGCAACAACCCTAAAGAGAGATAATAATTAACATAACTAAATGTGAATTATTATTATCTCTCATTAAATTGTGTCTCTTGAAATAACATCCATCGGAGTTGTTTCGCAAAAGTCTCAATCTGAAACCGACCAACTCTATATTAATATATAAGGATTCACTAATTTTCCCCCAGGTCCTTGGAAATAGTGTTCTTGATTGGACGAAATTGATTACAGATTCTGATCTGACATCATGACCGAAGAAAAACAAAAATACGGCAAAAAAAAAAATTGAAACATAAAACATATTGTTAGTTGTGGTATTAAGACAAAAATATAAATATAGTATACTAAATAATTTAGCAAGGAATTTTTTTATTAAAATACGAAAGGTGATCTCATTGATAAAATTACAAGTTACAGAGAAATTAGGTTTCCTAATATATAATGCGGATGATTCTGGAATTTTATGTAATTCATTTTTTTACTACAGTATTGTTTTGTTAAATTTTATCAGATGTGTCAAAAATGTTTCTCTATTATATCATGTGGACATGTTAGGAGTTTCGAATAGTGATGCAAACAGCAGACGACTAAGGTTTAGCCGTGCCGTTACTTTATTTAATTGGACTAAGTCAAGTCAGACTGTTAATCTAAAACTTACTATTTCTTATTCGAGCGATAAATTAAAATTTGGATTTTTGAAAAAACCGGATTTCTAGTTTGATCCGCTGATAATCATTTCATAGTGTTGGGTTCGGAAGTTTGCGACTATGTCGCTCCAAAATTCTAAACCTCGCGTAACGTACAATAAGTAACCTTTTCGAAAGAGGGTGTTAGATTTGGCTTGT